TTCGAATACCTATTAATTATATTATCAAATTTTTACATGACCACATAATTTTGTAAAGAGTGATAAATTACTTATTATTCGCTTACTTTTTATTAAAAAAAATCTGAATACTTTGCATAAGATACAATATACTCTTAGTTTTAATATTAGTTTTATTAGTAATTTGCGAATAGAAAACTTTTATTTAACAATCTTTAATAAATATTTTATGAACTTTTTAGTTCAATTGATATATTAATTTATTTATTAATATTTTGTGGGATAACCTTTGTTTTCAATAATAGCTACATGAATTGGCATATTATTAACAAGATTATTATATTTATCCTTTTCAAGTTTGAACCATTCTTCCTGAAAAATTTTCCATAAATTGTCTTTATTTTTAGGTAATGGTTTATGTGACCTGACTTTTCTATTTAATTCATTCCATAAATCTTCTATAGAATTTAAATTTAAACTTTGTGCAGGCCATGGAAGACTTTTAATATTATTATTTTCCATCCATTTTTTTTACTATTTTTGCAGTATGGATTGGAACATTATCTTCTTAAAAAATATAACTATTGCTATTTTCTAAACTATTAATAAATAGAATTAGATTATTTTTTAACATTTCTATATATATTGCTGCTGTTATTCTACCTTCTAATCCAACTAATGGTTCAAGTTTATTTTTTGTAAAACAACCTCAAATTATTACACTTTCGTGTCCCGATTTAAAAGTTGAAATAAGACATTTTGGATTATGATTTTCTTGGGAATTTCTTCAAACATGTCTTCTTCCATCTCTCCCAAATATCTCAAATCTTAATTCATCACTTAAAATAATATTATTCCACTCATTTATCCAATTTTTTCTTATTTTAGTCCAATTTAACCTTTTCATTTTATTTGCAACATTAACAAAAGGTTTTTTAGCTCCAATTCTTCCATAAATATTATTTGTATGAAGATGCCTTTTAAGAGTAATTTTTTAAGAGTAATTGAACTTATATTTGTTGAAGTGGAAGAAATAAAATTTTCACATATTTCTTTAATATTGGTTCTATGATTTTCATTAAGAACTTGTATTAAATGATTATTATCTCTTTCAGTTATAATACATGATTGACCACTTCAAGAATTTATTTTCTCTAATCTATCATTTTTGTAGACCGAGATAACATCATATACTGTACTTTTTGGATAATTTAGCACTTCAGTTATTTTTCTTTCAACAATATTACATTTTCAAGCATCTATTATTTCATCACATTGAAATTCAGTAAGATCTTTACATTGAGAAGTCATTTTTATAAAATTATTTTTTAAAGAAATAAAAATGGAAGATATAATTTAAGTAAGTTTAAATAAAATTAATAAATTATTAAAAAAATAAAATAATTATAAGTTATATTATTTGAAAATAACTTAATATAGTTTTATCATTATAGAAAATAATTTTTTACAATATATTATACACAACACAATTAAATAAATCAGGTAGCACCTCACCTCTCTCTTAAAATCATATTAGGATACAACAATTTTTTCCACGATCCATGTTATTTAAAACGGAAAAGCATATTTAGCTAATAATTATGATGGTCATACTATATTCTATTTTCAAATTTTATAAATATTTTAAATATTCATGCTATAATTAACTAATGAAAAAATTTTTGTTATATTTTAAGTAAAAATTGATTTATAATAAAATATTTTAAATAAGATAGCTTTGTTTAGTCAAATCTATAAAGAATTCTGAATAAATAGTAAACATGAAATTAAAGTGATGATAATGAACAATTGTCACGAAAATTTTCATATGACTCCATTTTTTTAGCATTCAAGCAGTTAACCGTTCAATTTCAATTTCTTCAAAATAAATTTCAATTTTTTTCATTAACAAATTGTAAAATTAATCATCAATAATCGTATTCTTGATTTTCATTTTTCATTTTTTGGTGATATTTTTAAAAAGATTTCACCGTACCGTTTTAAATCGCGTACAAACATATTCGATGATTTTTAATTGCGAAAGAATTTGACCCGATTTATTTCCACTTTTTTTTTCAATTACCTCTCCCATTAAAAATTAAGAAAATAAAATGATTTTTTGTAAAGAATGCAATCAAAACCAAAACTGTTGTTTTTTGTGGTGGTGCAAGTCATGTTACTCAAAGCAATTCAAAAATGATTTTGATAAATGGACAAGTGAAATGAAAAAATCGATAAATTTATTCAAAATGCTCAATTAAGTGCAGATTGATATAAGAAAGTAATAGAATGGATGCCTTATAATAAATTTAAAGATATTAAAAAAATTGCTAAAGGTGGTTTTGGTACAATATATTATGCTAAGTGGATTGATGGATCTATTTTGGAATGGGATATTGAAAATCAACAATGGAACAGAACTGGTCAAACTGAAGTGGCATTAAAAAAGTTTGATAATTTTGCAAATTTAAATGAAGAGTTCTTAAATGAGGTAAAATATTTTTTGAATTATTATTATGTAATTTTTGAATATTGTATAATATATCACATTACATTATTTAGATGGCAATTCACTTGAAATCAATGGATCACTTTGGATCCATCCGAATTTATGGAATAACAATAGATCCTGAAACTAATAAATATATTATGGTTTCGGAATATATGCTTAATGGAAATCTTAGAGATTATTTAAAAAATCATTTCGATAACATTAATTGGGATTATTTTATTTACATGATTTATCATTTAATTTTAACCAATTTCATTCATTAGATATAGTGCATCAAGATTTTCATCCTGGAAATATTTTAGCAAATAATTTTAAAAAGGATTATTATTTATCTCAGATTTTGGATCAAGTAAAATAGTTTGGCAAAATTTAGAAAATTCTAATAAGAGAAATATATTTGGTGTATTACCCTATATTGCACCAGAAGTTTTATGGGAGGAGAATATCTTTTGGAATTATAGTTTATGAATTAATTACTGGGTTATTACCATATTACATGATAAAGATCTAGCCAGATAAATATGCGATGGATTGCGACCAAAAATTCCGTTTCATACTCCAAAATTAATTACTAGAATAATTTTAAGGTGTTGGGATTCTCGAGCTACTTATAGACTCACTTTATAAGAATTGAATGAAGAATTGGGAAAATACTATGATGATTATAAGGAAAATGATTTTAAAATAATAATGAAATTATAATTCAAATCGATAATGCTGAAAATTTTTCCAAACACCTAACAAATACAACAACTATAAATCCTTATAATTACAAAACACATCCAGAAGCAATTTATACCAGTCGACTACTTAATTATTCAAGTCTTCCAAAACCTAAAAATGATGAAAATTTTGAAAAAGAAATTGAAGAAATATATCTTATATTTATTTTTATAATTTAATTTTATTAATTTTATTTCTATCTTATTTAGTTGCTTCTGAATCAATTAATATGTGTATACCTTTTTCTTAAATTATTTTACTTTTTTTTATGAATTTGATTAGTTTAAAAATAGGGTTTGTAATTGAGATTTTTGATCATAATAAATAATAAATAATATTTTCTAACAATATAATATAATTATTGTTGAATGTATTTTTTTACTAAATCAACCATTATAAAATACAACAGAAATAATTTTTTAAATTTTTATAATTTACAAATTTCATGTACATACATATTTTAACTTAAATTTAATTCAATTTAAATTGATGCATGTTATATAAAATATTTAACATGGTTCAATAATATAACTAATGATTTGGTCTAAAGGGTTTAGGACGGTTTAAGATGTTTAGCATACAGTGAGTTAAACTTAAAGGTGAAATTCAGAAAGTTTTTGTTATAGCGAAACTTATAATTGTTTAATTAGGTTTGGGACTATTGATTATATAAAAAAATTGAAATTATTAATAAAATTAAAAAATTAGAAAAAGTTTAGGATGGATGCTAAACGTTTAGACCGAATCATTAAATATAATTATGATTGTTGATTGTTATTTAATTATATTCTTTATAATGCATACATTTTGTTTTCGTGCAAGACTTTATGGTGGTGTTGATCTTTGATCTCCCTGACAAATAATCCATGTCACATGAACCTATTCTAAGATCCACAAGATGGAAGGAAAGAAAAGATCTGGAACCTGAATGATATATGCATCTGTGCTTCAGCTGATATAGTATCACCGAAACTTTGATTATGGGCTATCAAACACCTTGAATTTATGTTTGTTTATTAGCTACATATTTGCTTTTAATTTTTGTTTGATTTAATCTAATTCAAAATTTTTTTTATTTAACATAAAATTTTAATTTTCAAAAAAACTTCACATGACATATTTATTAATAATCTTTGGTTTATTTGTGCCTCACTTATTTTATATGATTTGTAGCGGTCTAAAAATTTGATCTCGTCACGGAATCAGCAAATTCACAATATATTCACAATATATTCACAATAGAAAAATTTGACGTTACTCAGGTTTTTTTTTTATTAATATAATAGTACATGTCAAAACTTTGAGTACATGAGGGAAATTTCAAATAGTAAATTCGTTGTTGTTGAAATCAACCGACATACAGTATACTCTTTATTTTTAATAATAAAATAGCGCGATCTGTTATACAAAAAAAAAAATACTACATTATTAAAATTAATAAATAAAATAAGAAAAAAATTAAAATGTTATTGTTCAACGAACATAATTTTTGTTTAAAAAATACAATCTGTTTAAATAATAATAATAATAGAACCTTTTAGATATTTGGATCTTGAGACAGGCAAATTGATATTTATTGTTGTTTGATTAATTAATCTAATGATAAAATTTGTTGATAAATACAATTAAATAAATAATTTTATCAAAATTGATGATGATAAATATTATTTTTTTTTTCTTAATAAATTTTTTATAAATAATCCTGAGTTAAAAAAAAAAAAAAAAAAATTCGTTTCGAATTTTAAATACCAATTAATACAGATACAGAACACAAATAAAAAATCTTTCACTCCTCAAAGACTTGATCCAAATATTTCGAAAAATCATATCCATCTGCAGAAATTACACTTGGTGGCATAGTCTCTTGTAAATATGAAACGACATTTGCTGGCAATAAAGATCTTCTCAAATCAAGTTCAGTCACGAAAGACTTATCACCTGCCACAATCTTGAATGATTGACGAAGTTGATCTATCGATGTTTTGTCTTCGGTCACATTAATCATGTAAAAGATAAACTAACAAATTTACGCGTTAAATTATATTTGTTAACAATAAAATTATTATCACAAACAATAATTATTCAAAAAGATTTTTTTTAAATACCTGTTTAAACGATGCTTCTGGTTCTCCTGCGGATGCTTGATAAAACGCAGACTCCAATTCATCATCCTAATGTCAAATAAAAAAATAATAATAATAATTTTTTTTTTTTTATAATATATGACTCTTTTTTTAAACAACTTTTAAATTTACCTCATATAAAATGCCAAGACTAGCCAAAGCAGCTCTGAACTCATAGATATTAAGAGTATTTGAACCATCAGTATCAAAGTGACGGAAAGTGCCTTCAAATTCTTCCAATTGGGCTGGTGTAAGGTTAGTCATGTTTCTTGATACGATCTAATAAAATAAAAATAAATTAATTCAGTATTAGAGATCAGAGGTAATAAAAAAAGATATTAAGGAAATCAAGGAAATATTGAATTAACTAACTTGATTCTCTATGAATGAAGTCTTTTTAGTTATTGATTGTTGTACTAGACCTAATTCAAATCTTAAATCATCCACCGAGAAAATAGTATAATCATTTTCTTCAATATTCGCCTCACAACATTGTCGATTAAGATCTTCAATCTGAGAGAGTGAATTTTCCAACGATTTCAATTTAGTCGCCGAAAGATCTTGAACAATAGAAAGTTGAACCTAATAATTTTGAGAAATTTTTTTGTTATAATTTACCAAAAGTAATAATTCTAAAATAAAACATATTATTTATTATTATTATTATTATTATTATTTTTTACATCTAATTCACCATCCAATTTAGCCAAGGCATGTGAAATGGAGTCCAGATTTTTTTGAAATTCATTGGCGGAACGAGCAAATGATTTACGTAAATTTTCTTTAATCCTTTATTGAGAAAGAGAAGGAAATATATAAAATATAAAAATTAATGGGTAAAATGTTGAACGTAAAAAATTCATTTTTCCAATTTATTAAATTAACTCACAACTCACTCTCTTATTTCATAATTAATGGCTTTATATCTTTGTGCTTCAGCAACCAATAAACTTTGCCAAACATTATCCAAATCAGCCAAAGTTAATCCAGGTCGTGGATGATAAGGTGGTAAATCATAAGTTTTTAATTTAGTTTGAATATTACCAAGTAAAGTATCAATATCAGTTTTTTCAGCAACCCAATTTCTTTTTTCACCATTTTTATAATGAGCAAATTCGGAAGCTTGTTGTTTGGCATTTAAATAACTTCCATCAAATCTAGAATTTTCCCATTCGGATTTCTTATCTGAAACATTTTGCATTAACTATGTCGAGAAAATATATATATATTAAATAATCTTAATAATAATAAATTATAAAATTATAAAATTATAAAAAATTGATTTTTTTTTAAACGTTTGTAAATAATTAATAATTACCTGTTTAACGCGTCTTTCATAATCATGACTCATGTCCCACGCTGATCTCATAACATCTGCAAATTTTGAAACTCTTCTACCAGCAGTTTCTATTTTGTCTATAATTAAAAAAAAAATAATATAATTAATGATATGATATATAATAATAATTAAAAATAATTAAAAATAATTAAAAATAATAAAATATATAAATTTACTCACCAAGATGAGAAAATGCGTGGAAATATAAAGCAACGTATGTCATAACAGACCTTTCATCAGGTTTCTGAATATCACAAACATCTTCCACATCCAACAATTGCTAAATTCAATTAGAAATACTTAAATAAGTAAATTATTGGTTTTTATAATTTTATTTATTTATTTTTTGAGTTTTTTTTTTTTTTTTTTTTTAAAAAAAAAAAAAAAAAAGGATAAGAAATAATAATTTTTACCTACCGGTACGTCAAGATGAGTTGAAGCAACTTCAAAGGCCAAAGCAGTATTTCCATGACGATCACTCTGATTAATGTAAAATAAATTCATAAATTAAGAAAAAAAAAGCGAATTTATTGAATATATATATATATATATATATATTAACATAATGCGAACCTTATCCAATGCATCATAATCCAAAAGATCCGGTCGATGTCGATGAATTAAAGCACAACTATATTAAAGAATAATTAACGTATTGGTAAATAAAATATTAATTAAGCAATAATAATAAAACAATAATGATAATGAAATTAATGAAAATAGGAAATCTTACAATGCTAAACCATCCTGCCAACTTTACATATATAATATAAGGTTAAAATAGAATAATCATAAGTATTTTATACTAAGAAGAAAAGAAAGAAAAATATTATTAATAATTTTAAAAAATTTCACCTATAAGTAAAATCACGCACGTCAACTTCAGAATAAGGAGCAGTTTTTCTTTGACACCAAAGTAAAAGACCTTCTTTTGCAGTGAGACCTTCTTGGCTGTGAAAAATCAATTCAAAAATCAATTAATAAATAAATATGAAATGAAACAAAAAAAAAATAATATTTTTCGTTTAATAAACCTAATATCTGCAATTGTGAATCGTAAAATTATAGTCCAAATCATTCCCAGAATAAGCTTATGGTTACAATCAATAATATCTAAAAAAAGTTTATAATTGGGAAATTTTAAATATTATTAAATTAACGATTAAAATATCTCAAAATATTTTAAAAAAAATTATTTCAAAATTATTCAAAATATTTCATCAAATATTTCTTCATTCATTCATTCAATCAATCAATCAATCAATCAGGAAGAAGAAGAATCTTACTTGTCTTTCTGATCAAGATAAACTAGTTAGAGCCATTAAATAATATAAATATATAATAAATATATATATTATCTCTACGTTTTATTCACTATTTACCTTCAGCACCAATATTAGTTAATGATACACCTCGATGTTTAATAAATTCTAAAGCTTTATTCACATTTTCAACTTTTTGTATCCTCATTTTAGGGTGTTTGTTATACTTTCCAAATGATACATTTCCAATAATTTCCTTATGAATTTTAATTTATTAAATTTATTTTAATTTTTTTTTTGAATTTATTTAATTTTTCTTGAATTTATTTTAATTTATTTTTTTTTTAATTTAATTTATTTTTTTTTTTAATTTATTTTCGTGTTTTTTTTTTTAATTTAAATTTATTTTAATTTATTTTGATTTATTTTAATTTAATTTATTTTAATTTATTTTAATTGTTAATTAATGAATTAATAAACTAATTGCTCACCAAAAGTTGAATAAGATATACTCCATCAGACATTTCATTAATCAAATCTGTTATTGGATTAATATTTCTATCAGATAATTTGCTGTTAACCCTTTTTATCAAAAGATTTAAAGAAAATAGATCAATGACGCAATAAATGATGAATTGTTTATTATAATAAAATTTATTACATAATTAATAATTTACCATTTTGTAAAAGTTTTTTCTTGAATCGTTTCCCATGTTCGATCCATCAATTTTTACTGATAGAAAAAAAAAAGTAAAAAAATAGTTTGCAAAAAAAAAAAAAAAATCATCAAACCGTAAGTATTCATTACCCGTTATCTTCTACAATTTGATGATTTGATATAAGAAACAAAAGGTTGTAAAAATGAATAAACAAATAAACACGTTCGATGATACAGAAATATCTATATAATTTAAAGGAGATTTATTTTTTTTTTTTAAAAAAAAAAAAATGAGAATAATACAAACATTACATTAAATTACATTAAAGAGACATAAACTGACATTAACTGATAAGCGATTGTTTGAACATCGTAAAAAAATCTTGTATTTCTGTCGTACATACATTAATCAACAGAAATTTCCAAATGTATTTCATTTATTAAATTATTATGTACACATTCTCTGCAAGTACGCCGAGAACCTATACAAATTGAGATCATTTATTTATTATTATAAATTACTAAAATTAATTTTTTCAATTTTTTCGTAATTACTTTTTTCACCATGAAAAATTATAATTCGATTAATGTGAATAATAATAATAATAAAGAGATTATTGACAACAACAACAGTAGTAATAACAACAATAATAATAGTAGCAATAATAATAATGGCAATAATAATAATAACAACAATAATAATAATAATGGTAATAACCGTTATTTGAAAGCTTCGAATATGACGATTGAAAATAAAGATTCAAAAGCTATTCAAATCGATACTCCCTTAAAATCTCCGGTATTCCCGATGAACCTTTCGGACCCTCCAGAAAAGAAATTAAAACCTATTCAAGATGCTATTTCTAACGCATTTCAATTATTTAAAGAAAGTAAAATCTTTTCATCAGATAAATATATTCAAAGGAAAAGTAATAAGATAGCGAATGAAGATAGTGTCTTTTATATTACTACTTTACAATCAATTGATTATAGTAAAAAGATGATCTTTCATTCGGAAAATGTTATTGAATATACTCAAAATCGTAAAATTCCTACAACTGATGATAAACATTATTTACAAAAGATGTCAATTCCAAAAAATCTTATTAAAGATAGTTTGGATTTAAAGGAATCAATTAAAGGATTGAAAAATGATTATGAAGGAATATTAAAAAGTTTAGGATCAATTCAAGATGATCTTCGTGAATATAAATGTGATGTTAGTGAACGTATACGAGCAATTCCTTATTATGAATCACAAATCCAAGTTCATAAAAATAAATCCCAAATTCATTCTTATAGATCTAATAATTTCTTTCTTTTTGGTGGAGGAATAATTTTTGGGGCTTTATTAATAGTAATTTGCGCTCTAGGTGATATTTATTCATCCATCATTTTACCCATTAATTTAACGATGATGATATTTGGTTTCTTATCGGTTGGAATAGGTTTAATATTTAAAATGACTTCACGTTTACATTTAAATGAAGTTGTTAACATTGATGAAGAATTACAATTTACTAAAAATTTATCGGTAACCACGAATGATAATGAAATACGAGAATTAGAACTTCATTTGATTGATCTCATTTGGCAACTCAAAATGATTCTCGCTTATTGGAAGAAATATCAATTAAATTTAGAAAATCTCATCGTTGAACTTGGACATGGAAATATTAATATAGATCAAGTTGATGATTTTTGGTTTACAATAAAACAACAATGTGAAATTTATAATAAAATTGTAAAGAATATTTTAGATAATATTGACATCGCCCATGGAAAACAAGTAAGTTAATAAACAAATAATATAAATAATATCAATTAATTAATTAATTAATTAATTAATTAATAATATTTTTTATTCACAAATTTATTGATAAATTTTAATCGTAATTATTTAGGAAAACACGAAATAATACCTTTAAAGATATTTTTATTTATTTTATCTTTATCGTTATTATTTTTATCTTCATTGTTATTACCTATATGTTAATCTATCTATTTATCTATTTATCTATTTATCTTTATATTATTATTATTATTATTTATTACCTATATTATTATAGTAAAAATTTATTTATTATTATTATAGGCATATGATTTCTAAAGGCATTTTTTTTGACCATTTATTATTATCATTTTTATCATTCTTATTATATAGTAAACAGAACCAGTAGATAATATAGACAAAATATATATTTAATAACATGTTGAAATAAATATGTATTTTTTTTTTTATATAAAATTCAAATTGTAAATATATAATGAAAAATTATCGTAAAATTTTGTAAATTATATTTTTTTTCTGTTTTATTCGTCATTCCATTTAATAGATAATAACTATTTATTATATGTCAATTATGATAAAGTTTATAAAATGTGGGAAGTATATTTCATTGACTTGTAAATTTTTTCCCTTCAAGGTGGTGATACAAGAGGTTAACGCGTTTCGTTATTTTTAATGAGACTTTACTAATTTTTTTTTTCTTAAGTAGGTGAATGTCAAAATTAATCTGCTTCTTAGTTGTTTGTTTGTCATTTCTAGTAACAATTTTGAGCGATGCTTTAAGAAATTTAAAAAAATTACACTACTGTTATACTAACTTTTGCTTTTCGTAGGTTGGAAATTCGTCGTGCCAGAAATCTTGTAAATTAAAGGAATATATATCAGACTTTATAAAACTTGAAGTATAATTCTTTGAAAACGAGTGCGTTAATTCAATGTAAAAGTTTAATTACATATAATACTTGTAATTGAAGCAACACTAATATCAATGCTTCTGCCGCTAATTATTTTAGGAATTTAGTAAATAAAAATCTTAATTTTTATTATTATTAATATTTTAAGCTGATAAATTTAAATTCATTAAAAAAACAAAATACATTGTAATATAATAACTAGACTACTAGTATGTCTGAAAACCCATCAACCCACCACCCTACTTAACGAAAACTCATATATTTTTTACTTCAGATATTAAATAATATTATTTCAAATTCTATATGAATTAATTAATTAGATATCCATCTCATTATTGGATCAGCGCGTCATCGGGGCTGTAGCTGAACTGATAATCAAATGGCTTTTAAATTCTTTGATTTAGCTACCAAATAATTGGTATAAAAATCACCTCCTCAAATCTTTCAATAAGAAAAATTTACAACATTAACAAGATTTATCTTGCATATAGGTATTGAGTAGATTTGAAAAAAGGATTCCAGATTTATTATAAAGTTGCAGATGAAGGGTTCCATATAGCTTTAAATTGTATGACGTATTTATTGAATATATTTGTGTTGAAATGTTAAAAAATCATTAAAATTATATTTAAAATCTAAACAAAAAGGAAATCTCGTAGCAAAATCAAATATTTGTTTTTGTTGTGAAAAT